ACTTTTGTGTTTAAGTATTTGGTTTTTTACTATGCTTGTGCTGTATGAATCTAACATGTTATAAAATTTGATTCAACTAAACAGATAGATTAGGGAAATCTAAATAAGATCATTTGTGTATGGTAATGCATTCCTGTAATTCCAGAACTCTGGGAGCTGAGGCAAGAGGACTGCAAGTTGGAGCTCAGCTTGGGCAACTTAGTGACTTAGTAAGACCCTGTCTGAAAATAGAAATAAAAAGAGGCTGGGGATATAGCTCAGTATGAAAGCCCTGGCTTCAATCTTCACAAAAAAGTCAGTAAATGATACTATTGTGAAGATATTGGTTGCAATATAGTACTATAGTACTATAGTTTTGTAACACTGAGGAAAACTGAGTAAAGAAATCTATCTGTATTACTTCTTATAAGTGCATATGAATCTATTGTTATTTCAAAATAAGAAGTTTGACTAAAAAACTGTTGCTGGATTCGAAGCTATAGAGCTGGTCTCATTCTTTTTCTAACATTTCTGTGAACATATCTACACTGAGATTCAAACTCTACATCTAAAATCCTCAAAAAGGCAATCAATTTGAATAACTTAAAAGTTCCTTTGAAAGAAGCCTGAACTTTGGCCTATGATAAAGCTCAAGATTAGCAACAATTTACATATTTTGCTTTGTGGTATTGGGAGATTGGAAAGAGTTTATTTTTCCTCTCTCTTTCTGTTTTGATTTCTCACAAGTCAATTCAGTAATCCCTACTTCAGAAGTTGTGAGATAGCACTGTATTTGTGAAAAGCAAATTGTGCATTATCTCTCATCTCAGGATATCTTGGTTTAGACAAATTATAGGAGTGAGTCCTTTTACTGTTTGAAGGCTGAGAACTACTTGACCGGGGAGGAGGAGGCAGCAAAAACTGTTTCCTACAAAATTTTCCTTAAAAAAATAGCTTTTCCATCTCTGTCCCTACTGAAAATAGAACTAAGATATAACTTTGGAAACTTTTGTAGCTCAGTGGAACTAAGAATTGAAAGAAATTTGTGGATTCATATAAGAAAATGGATTGAGGGAGACCCAATCATTTGTAGCACACAGATGTTTTATTTCACCTGTATTTTATAGAAAATGCTGCTCGATTAGATCTCATACTTAAAAGCAACTGTGTGCACATTTCTCCATCTCTTTGCAGGCCATATGACACTGACCATAAAAGAAATCTTTTTGAAGTGATGGGAGGGAAGTAAGTGAGTGAGTCAATAGCAGAAAAATCAAGAACTGGATTTTACATGATTTTATTTGTTAGATGTTGGCATTATTGTAAGGAAATGATTTTTGGTATTTATTGAGTGCCTATAATGTGCTATGCCCTCTGGTATTTGTTAGGGAGACTAGGAATATTTGAAGCAAATGATTTGTAGATGATTTAGAGATGATTTATGGATTATATTACAACATGTTTTGAACTGCATCATCTCATTTAATTCTCACAAAACCCATGTCAGGCAAGAATTATTACTGGTCATTTTACAGGAGAGAAAGCAGAATCTTTGTTAGGTTAAGAGGATGTCCCATATCAAGGCTGTTGTCAAGCAGAGAACTTGAGCTCTTTGTGCCTATGATAGTCTCCCAGCCTGACTTTTGACAGTACTGAAGCTTGTATATACTGTTTTCTTGTATATACATACTTAGTTTATAAATTAGGGACAGTAAGAGATGAATAATAACTATGTTAATTTATACTTTCAATGACTTCATATCTTTGATTTTCCATATTTTTAGTTAAATTTTGTGGTTTTCTCATTATAGGTTCTCTTTAGTTTTGAAGTCATTTTTAGATATTTTATATATATTTGATTTTTAATGGTTTTTCTTGTTCATTACATTAACTGATAGATGGCAGGTATACAGACACTTTTTTGTATATTTATTTTATAACTAACCAGTCTACTATGAGACAATTTCTTAGTAATTCTTATGTTTTAAATGTGAAATCCCAACTTCTGCAAGTATCCATAATTTCCTCTTCAATGTATATAAACCCATTTAATTTATTTGTTATTTATTCTAATTGTACAGAGCATCAATTCTGAAATGTTATTAACTAATAAATGTAGTTATTACTCTTTTTTCATTAATTATAATAAAAATGATTTCTTATTTCTATGGAATACAATGGTGGCTGTTGATTTAAGAGACATTTTTATTATGATAAAAAAGCAATTTCATTACACTCTTCCTAAAACATTCTGGAATAGAAATAGATACTTTATTAGAATAGTAGCTACTGATACATTTATATATAGCTTTTGCATCAAATAAAAATATAATTAATATTAATAGATCTAATGGTATGGCTTATATATTTTTGTACTAAATGTATTTATTTTGTTTTGAAAAATCATGGCTAAACATCTACAACATAAATTTATCATTTTAACCACTTTAAGTGTACAGTCTTGTGATATTAAGTATATTCACAATGCTGTACAGTAAATCTACTTTTGTAATAAATATACTCCCTTCTTAATTGGTTATTATTTGTATATACTGCTAAATTTTACCTGCTAACATTTTACTTAGAAGGCTTTTTTTTAATTCTTAAGTTCTTTTATGGTACATTGTAGGTATACAATACATTTACATTTATCATTGGGTGCTTGTACCTGTACATGATGTATCCTGGTTCTTACTTTTTCCCCATTTCCTGTGCTCCCTCCACCCCCTCCACCCTTCCCTATTTACATATATATCATTTCCATTTTTTTCTTTTCTCATAATTTTTCCTTTCCCCTTCCCCTCCCTTCACCCCTACCTCTTTGTAGAATGCTTTTAAATCTATTTTTAAATGAGATTGTTCTACATTACTTACTCTAAGGTTTTTATAATACTGGCATTTGTTAGCTTTATGAAAAGAATTTATAGCATTTTCACTTTTAAATAGATTCTATCTATAGAATTGCTATAGAATAGCAATTATTTTTGTATTAAAAGTGTGAAGAAAATTATGCTCAAATCATCTATATCCATGAAAAATTTTCTGGTTCTGTGTCCTGCATGGACTATGTAAGACAGAGGAGAAGGACCTGACTCTCCCCTTTCTCCTGTGCAGGCTGGAGGGGGTGTGGTTTGGCCAATTGTTGTCACCCTCACCCCCCACGGACTGGTTGCTTCATGGCTACTTTCCAGACTGCTCCAACAGGAAGTGCAGCTTGGCAGTCAGCTGTGATGCAGGTGCTCCTGCTGGGGTGGGGCACCATAATGTGGTTAAGATTTGGGAGAAAGGGAGAGATCTGAGCCCCCTTTTAACATCCCCAACCTCCCTAAACCCCAATAAGCTGTAATGAACACAGGTAACCCTCTTCAAGATTCCTTGATTTTTTTGCCTGCCATTTTTTCACAGAGACACAACAGCTGTCAATCAAACAGCACATTATGACCCACTCTGTCGTGGATTTGCTGCCAGGATAGGTGAGCCTGGTTTGGAGCCCTGCACCAATTTGAACCAATCACAGGCCTGGATTTAGACCAATCAGCAGGCCTAGATTTGAACCAATCACAGCCCTTTACTTGGACCAAGCATAGGTCTGTAGCCACTATATAAGAAGCACTACTCTGTTAGTCTAAGGGGGGCTCCCTTTGGATCCCTGAGCTCCTGCACAGGTCCTGTTAAGACTGGCTCTGGTGACCCTGTAAATCTGCATGGAGCAATAACTTGAATCAACCCCTGGTATCATGACAGAGCTGTACTTGGCTGATTCATGATTTCTATCTGAATCAAGCAGAAAAACCCTCAACTGATTGGCAACACATGCAATTTCTTCATTTAAAAAAATAGTTTCAGCAATTCATATTTTCCCAGAAAAAATTCTATTTTATAACATGTTTCATATCTATATTCTATATTTTAATTTTCACACATATTTATGATAAATCTAAATTCTCCTCTTCCTCATCCCAAATATTAATAACTTTATTCCATGAACATTGGAAAGAATCTTTTTTTTTTCTTCTCTAATACTTTCGTTGTATTCTGGTGGAAGAAATTTACACATCTTAAACTCCTTCAGTGACTTCTTAATCTTGGTGAGGAGGCCCTGCGGTGTCTAAGCCTGCTCCTCAGCCCTACACTTCCTGTGCTCCAGCCACACTGCCTATCTTACAGCTGGAGTCTCCCACCTTCCCTGGGTCCGGGGCTTTTGCCCAGGCTGGCTCACTAGCTGTTGCATTTTTGTTCCATTTTAGGTATTTAAATAATAGACTCAGGAAGCCTTCACTAACCTCTGAGGCTGCATCAGATCTTCCTGCGAACCATTTGTACAGAAGTGTGGCTTTCATTTATAACAATCATGTAGCACATGATCACATGTTTGTTTATTTGGTTGATTTCTGTTTCCCCAACACAGGAGACTGAAGTCTGTATCTGATATGGTTCATTGTTCCACAGTCTGAATGAAGCACAGTGCTGTGTCAATACTTAGAAAAATCATCCTGTTATGGTACGTTAATTTAATTTAATTTTTTTCTGCTGTTCGCTTTCTCTCCCTTTTACTGTATTTTATTATCTCTCACAAGTTTTCTTTGACTCTTTTAAGTGACTACAATTTACATCATTTTTATAACAATGTTTTTTTCACACTTAAAGCCATTTCTTCACCAGTGGCAAGAATGAATGAGTACTTACCGACTCCTTCATATTTTGATAACTGGTTTGGCATGCATTAACATTCTTGTTTATTTTAATATAAACCTCAGCAACAGAGAATGGTTTCCTAAGGGCTGCAGTGTTGGACACTGCTGAAGAGTTGGCAACTAGAAGACTCTGAATGGAGATTAGATGGGTAAACTTGACAGATGTTGGGATCAAGATCTTGGGATCAGGATTGGTTTCAGCATAAGAGATATGGAGAAGAAAATCTTGAGAGTGGTGGGTGTATGCAATTCATTAGGGAGTTTTTCTTAAAAGAGAAGCAGAATATTGGACTTAGTGGTGGAAGGGACATTTTGAAAGAATGGGAGGTGTTTCAGTATGGTTAAACTAAGAGGAAGAACCGAGTAGATCTGGAGGTGAACAGTGGAAGAGTCTCTCCTGTTTTCTATTTTAATTATAAAATTAAGATCAAAGATGAGAGGAAGTGAAGGAGAAATTTGAAGGATTAGAAACAATGTGGAGTGGATTTCTTTTTCAAACACTGGAGATAGTTTTTTCATTAATTTATTCAGATTTTGTGGAGAAACTTGTTCAGTATTAGAAATTAAGATTGGGTTTATGACAGGTTGCATGTGATACTGTTTATTTAAAAGTTAAGGGCTTGAATAGGTCAAAGAAGATGTTGAGATAATCTGGAATGTGTTTATCATTGGCTGTTTTCATGGCATTTACAACTGGCTCTGGCTAAAAGGAGAAAGCTCTGAGAAAGCACCATATAGGAATCCACAAGCTTTCCTTTCATTGCTTACAGTGGATTTACAGAGCAATGTAGTATTTTCTCCTCCTCCTCTCTTTCTGCTCACCCTTCTTCCTTTCTCTTCCCCCTTCCCCTCCTCCTCCTCCTCTTCCTCTTCCTCCTCCTCCTCTTCTGTCTTTCTGTGATCCTGGGTGTTGAACCCAGGGCCTTCATATTGAGCTACATCCCCAGCCCTTTTTAATTTCTTTTTTGAGACAATCAGTGAGTTGCCCAGGGTGGGCTCCAACTTGTGATTCTCTTAACTCATCCTTCTAGAGTGCTGGGATTACAGGTGTACGCCAGTGGACCTGGCTCAAATCATGCTTTTTTTCCTCACCATTATGATTTCCCCATAATCTGTATCCATACCACACCGACCTTGTAAACATATTTCCCTTCAGCTCACTCTTTCTCATTGTGCTCCAGCAAAACTAGGTTCCTACTGCTCTTCACACACAATACTGTCATACTGCTGCCCCCATCCCCCATTCTGAGCAAAACCTTCATTTTGTCCAGACCTTCTCAGGAGCCCTTTCTGATCCTCATCTCCATCTTCATCAACCCCACTCCTTTTATTCCTCTTTATTCTTAGAATGTCTCATAAAGCATGCCAATATGCCTCTGCAAGGAAAAAAGCAATGTAATGTTAGTTCTGAAAACTGTCTCTTCTCATGTGAATTCATGAATTGCCACCAATGCTCAGAAAGGAAGTCAGTGAGAAAAACACTGTCCCTTTTTTTAATCTTGTTAGAAGAAATAAGCTGAACAAACAACTCCCAGAAAATCCTTCTCTGTAGCATTGAATCCTGAGTGATGTGACATTAAACATCAATAAAGATGGGTTATTTATGTAAATCATTTTAAAAAAGAGCAATACCTGCTCCCACTCTGAAGATCTGTAATGCATACTTGGATATTGAAAGCTCTTAAAAATTCTCCTGAAAGAAATCTGTTAAGTTCTTTTTTCAGCCAGTACATATTCTCCAAAATTTTCACATGTGTTTTTAAGCATAGCATCTGTGAACTTCCATAGAGTTGGAGAGTGATAGAAATTGTTTTGGAAGAAGCTGAGCAGATAGGGTCCTTCCATTCTTCTAAACTCCTGTGGTGCTTTCTCTCTCTTTCTCCCATGAGGCACCTTGCTCTCTCTACTTTGTATTTATACATATCATTTGAGTTCATGACAAAGCTAAGTGTTCTTTGAGCAGATGGATAATGAAGCAGTGAAGTTTGTTTGTAGAGCCCACCATTCTGCCTTGCACAGACCAAGGACTCTCACATGAAGGTTGAAAATTAATGAGTATCAAGAGGGAGTTTCCAGGGAACACTGCCTTGCAGGTTATGTGTCCTGTCATTCACACCCTCATATCTGTTATTTTGCATGGTCCCAAACACCGCACTCTGAGGCAATATGACAGTATTTTGTAGCAAAGCAATTAGGTCATATAACTTGCCCAATAGCTTATAGCAAATAAATTGAAGAATGCTGGAATCCTAGTCTTCTTGCTTCTGTCCTTTATATCAAGAGTCCTCAACCCCTGGGCTACAGACTTGTTCTGGTCTATGGTCTGTTAGGAACTGGGCCACATAGCAGGAGGTGGGCAGTAGGTGAGTGAGTGAAGGTTCATCTCTATTTACAGCCACTCCCTATCTCATCCATTTCAGCCTGAGCTCTGCTGTCTGTCAGATAAGTGGCAGAATTGGATTTTCATAGGAACTTCAACCCTACTGTGACCTGCACATGTGAAAGATCAGGGTTGCCTGCTCCATTTGAGACTCTAATGCCTGATGATCTGAGGTGGAGCTGAGGTGGTGATGCTAACACTGGGGAGCAGCTGCAAATACAGATTCACATTAACAGAGAGGTTTGACTGCACAGATATCATAATAAATCAATTGCTTACAGATTCCGTCATATCAGGGTATGGCAAGTGACAATCAAGCTGCATCTCATGGCAGGTTTTCTAGTGGAAAATGAATTGATGTCTTTCAGTTGTACATCTGCATCTAGGCATGATTTAAGACAGAATCTGATATTTATTTTAGTATGTGCACGGCCCACTCATCATTTTATTTACCACTTCTGTCTATGCCTCTTTCCCACACTATGCACTTGTTCCAGTCACAGATTTGGGTAAGGCAAAAAGCTAACACTGGCCAAAATGAGTAGAAAACAAACATCACTGTAGAGCTTCTTTGGAAAAGGTAAAGACACAATGATGAGCTAGCAGAATACTCTAAGACTTCCTTCCAATGAAAAGAAAGCTGAATTTAAAAGAAAATACCAAGAGTTTTCCTTAAATTATGGGTTCATTGAAATATATGATTCCCATTCTAAAAGCTCTTTGTATAATATATGGCAACTGGCTACTCAACAAAGCCATGAAACCTTCAAAACTGCTTTGCTACAAGAAGAACAAACATCTTGCATTAAAAGACAAGGCCACAGTTTCTCAAATGAAAAAAATGTGAAGAAGAAAAACAGAAGGCCACTACTTCATCAAATGTGTCTGCTCTGAGAGCATCATTCTTAGTGGCTAATCACCTTGCTAAACCTAAAAAGTATTTCACTGCTGGTGAAGAGTTGATGCTGCCTGCTTCTTAGGACATTTGTCATGAACTTTTTGGAGAAGCTGCAATCTGAAAGGTGGCATATGTTTCTATATTGGCTACCACAATAACTAGATGAATGAATAATGTAGCAAAAGATATTGAGGTGCAATTGTTAGAGAGGATTAGGGAGTGAGCATGCTGTGCGATCCAGATTGACAAGTCTACTCATGTTGACAACAAGAAATGAAGCTTGTTTTCGTGTGATGTATTTTTCAGAAGGATGGGGATAAGGATATGTTTTACTTCCATCAACATCAAAGCTGCAGAACTATTCAAGTCTTTGAATGATTACCTAACAGGAAAACTGAATTGGTTGTTTCGGCTCAGTATACACATGGATGGAGCAGCTGCCATGCCTGGATGCCTTTCTGGTTTCACTACTTGCGCCAAACAGGTATCTTCTGATTGTGAGTCTATGCACTATGTCATCTATAAAAGAAATGCTGACTAGCTGAAAATGGCAGTGAGAAACATTTTCTAGGATATGACTAAAATTATCAACCACATTAAAGTGTATGCCCTTAACTCATGTCTGTTCATGTGATTCTGAGAAAAGATGGTCATGGAACATATGAGCCATCTCATGCACAGAAGTGAGGTGGCTTTCTAATGACAGATTACTGGTTATGAGAGCTACTTCAAAGATTTCTTTTAGAAAAACAGTCACAGGTGAAGAACATTTCAGTGACACAGAATGGGTCATGAAACTTGCTTACTCATGTGACGTATTCTGCCTGCTCAATGAACTCAATTTATCACTTTAGGGGAGATTGACAACTGTGTTCAAGTCTGCAGATAACGTGGATGCATTCAAAGCCAAACTGAAATTGTGGATGTGGTGAGTGAACACTGGGATTTTTGACATGTTTCAAACATTACTGAAGTTTTTGAGAGAGATTTATCCTGGGCCTTCTTTCTCCCATTTGGTGCATGATAACTTAGCTTAGTTTTCAAGAGTTTGAACATTACTTCCCAAACACAAAGGACCCTCCAGCTTGGAAGGAATAGATTTGTCACCAATTTGTAAACAAGCCAGGAAAATCAACTTTGTGCTAGAAGAGGATCAATTGCTTGAGATTGCAAATCACAGTGGTCTTAAAATTGTTTAAGACAACTTCAAATCTCTATATGTTCTGGATTAAAGGGAAGGCAGAATATCCTGATATTGCCACAGAGGTATTGAAGAGACTGTTTCTATTTCCAACACCCTATCTTTGTGAAGCAGGATTTTCTTCAGTGACAGCAACCAAAATAAGATTGTCCAGTAGACTGGACAAAAGCAACACATTTTAGGTGACACTGTGTCCTATCACCTCCAGATGGGGCTATCTAGTTGCAGAAAAATAAGCTCAAGGCTCCCACTAACTCTGGATAATGCTGTGTAATTATTTCATTATATATTATAGTATGATAACAATAGAAATAAAGTGCACAGTACACATAATGTGCTCGAATCATCCTGAAACCATTCACCTTCACCCTTCTCTGTGGAAAAATTGTTTTCCACAAAACAGTCTCTAGTGCCAAAAATGTTGAGGACCCCTGCTTTTTACTATCTACAACATCTTAATTCAATAATTTCTTAACTCATCTTAATCATGCCCATTCCTTTTCTTTCTGAGGGAAAATATGAAACAAAAATTTGCATTCCTACAGAAAATACTCATTCCTTTTTTACAACTGAGCTGATTTTGAATAAACTCTGATCCCTAGACAAATTTGATGGGGAAAAGTAGACAACTTGTCAGAAAGAAAATTAAACATTCGAATCTAGAAATGTTACTTACAGTGGTGGAGAAATAGTTAATCACAACAGACTTTCTTACTCCAACATTTTCTCTGAGGAATCTATTGCCAGGGCAAGTGGAGGGTTCAGAGCTCTCTGAAGACACTCTCTGTATCTTCAGCAACTTTCACTGATGTCTTTATATGCAAAGCGGGCAAAGGTGAGAGATTTTTCTATACTTGCTCCCTGCTCAGATCTTAGTGATTAAATAGCCTTTTGTCAGATAATTAAAATGGTTGTCTCTGGATGCAAATGTTCAAAGGGCTTGGGTTTAAATCGTGTTTGTTTCATAGGAGCAGGCCTTGATCTTTTCGTCTATCTAGGATCACTTAATAATACTCTTCTCTCAAAAAGGATTTAGCTCACAAACTATTATATCATCCACTTTAATTTGGGACCAAAGTGAGAAAGAGGAAAACCAAAACAATTTAGAGTGTGTTTGAATTTGTCCTCTTCCTAACAAGGGTGGGAAAACACAGTCAAGGCACTCCCACCCCTTTTATGACTTTGTTCACAGCTCTTATGCAAGCTACTAAAGCTACATTAACAACCAGAAAATAGATTTTTATCCTTAGATTCTCCTTAGCTTTTATCCACTTTATGAATAAAAATGCTTGTGATCCACTTTGCAAAATGCCTTGAACTTGTACGCAGAGTGATTGAAGTTTAGCCAATATTGATGTCATTTAAGAGTGGGTCCATTTCACCTCGGAACCGATGTCCTCTGGGCTGTCATCAATGTTAGATCTTGGGTTTCTGTTTAAGGGGCACCCTGTCCCACAGTTACACTGGAGTGGACAGTTTCTGATAATATCCAGCCACTTCAGCATCAGCCTTTTGTCGTAGCACCAATTACACAGACTCAAGCAGAGTCTGTTTAGGGACAGTTATTTTGAAGGTGGCTTTTCTGAGGTGATGCTCTTCATATTTACACACAGCTGAAAAAAGTCTTGCTTTATTTTAGAGCCCTTGACCACAGTTATTTTCCTCCCCCCCCCACACACATTTAATGGGTACTTCTTATTCACCTCCTGTGAGTCTACTTCATTTTCTTCAGGATTTTTTTTGTTTAGCCTTTTTTCATCATATAGATGCCATTTGAAGTTGTCTTCAATTCACATTGTGAAGATATTTACACCTAAGCCTGCATTCTTTCTTTCTTTCCAGCTCTGTGGAAAGAATCCTCTACATCTATCAAGTCTCAGCTACACTGTTTCTTTCTCAATGGAGCTCCCAAAATACGTCTGCAGGACTCTGTTGCCTTAGGAGTTAATCTCACCTTTGTCTTTCTGTAATTCCTCCCATGTAGAGTTTGAATATGGCCATAGTTTCAGCTCTAGCAATGCTTTATAAAATCACTCAGCATTCTTTTAAATGCAGAGTTAAAGTTATAGAAAAGAAATGGTAATTGATATGTGCTAGAAATTAAAATGTTTCTGGAATCCAATAAGGATGGGATCTAATCCTTCAGGGGTCTCTGTGAGTGGGAGGAGATTGCACATCTCAACAAACTGAGGGTGTTTTAACTAGGGTGAGTTTTAACACCTGTGTGCAGAAGGCAAGTGAGGTATCCCTTGCAGGAGGCAGCAGTGAGAACTAAAATCCCTGTACAAAGCAGTGCAGGTGCAAGGTAGATGAAGGAGTGGCCCAGACAAAATGTGCCTCTGACACAGACACATGCAGACAGCAAGACAACTGACTGCTGCTTCATGGACCGTTTGTAGAAAAAATGAGTTGTCACACTGTGATAACTCATGCCCATGGTTCCGTCACCACAGGTATTCTGGTTTAGATCTGAAATGTCCCCCCAAAATGTTTCATGTGTGTGAAAGGTGATGGAGTACTAATCAGCCATAAAGAATGAGAAACTAGAGACATATATAGCTAAATGGATGCATATTGAGGCCAAACTCTTAAGTGAAATAAATACAGTACACATGTGTAAATACCGAATAGTTTCTCTGGTGTGAGAAACTGAAAGTGTCAATAAGGATTAAAATTATTAAAACGAATAATTGATAATTTGAAATAGGAAGAAAAGGTCCAAAGGGGTAGGGAAAGTTGGAGGGCAAGGGGAAAGGTAAGAAGGGAAAGGAAAAATTATGAGAAAAGGAAAAAATGGAAATAAAGTGTTTGTAAATAGGGAAGGATGGAGGGGGTGAAGGGAGGACAGGGAATGGGGGAAAAAATAACCAAGATACATCTTGTACAGGTACAAGCACCCAATGATAAATGTAAACATATTGTATACCTAAAATGTACCAATAAAATAATTTAAGCAAAAAAAAAATTTCAAAAACAAAAAGCCAAACACTCAAAAAAACCCCCCAAAACGGTGACTGGATCATGGGCTGCTATACTCACCAGTGTATTCATACTGTTGATGAATTCATGGCTGAATGTGCTGTTAGGAGGTGGGGTCAGGTTGGAGGTGGGTCATGGGAGGTGTGACCTGGAGGGATGTATTCTTGTCCACTGCTCCTCCATTTTCTCTCTGCTTCCTGGTTGTCATGGAATGAGCAGCTGTTCTCTGCCAGGCGCTTCTACTATAATGTCCCTTCAGCCTAGGAAATGGCCAACAATTGAGTAAATCCTGTAAAAATCATGAGACAAAAATAAACTTCTCCTCCTTTAAGCTTTGGGTGCTTGGCATTGTGCTCTAGTGATGGGTAAGTGACTAACACAATAAATTTGAGGCTCTAATTTTTACTGTTGGTTGATTGAGGGACCCTTAAGGGAAGAAGGATCTTAAATCTTTATGTGAAAGGAATCATTAACAACTAATTTGAAAGATTTAATGATTAAGAAAACAATTCTACAGAACTATAATTCAACAAAATAATTTATAAAGAAATAGAAAATTCCTATAAAAAGAGGTGAAGCAGTTAATAGAAGTTTAGCCAGTTGCCTTAAATGCTAATGAGAAATAGATTCATACCATTTACTGACATCATCTTCAAAACCTGTGTATGAGGTATAGGTAATCCTTATGCAAATATTTTCATAGAATTAGAAAAGAAGGAAAAATCTCAATTAATTTTATAAGATTATTATAACTTTGATTCCAAAACCAGGCAAAGGCAATGTGAAAAAGAAAAACTACATGTAACTAATGGTCAAGGAGGCAAAAATTCTAATTGAACTCAGCAAAGTGAACCTAGGCAAGAAGGAAGGAGAGAGAGAGAGAGAGAGAGAGAGAGAGAGAGAGAGAGAGAGAGAGAGAACAAAGAGATGGGAAGGGAGAAAACATCTTTCAAAACAGCCACATCATAGTATGTAGACTTCTTCCAAGAATGTAGGGGTAGTCTTATTTGAAAAAAATGTAACTGAAAATCTTTTAAAACAAATAGAAGGGCTGGGGATTTAGCTCAGTGGTTCTGCTGCCTGCCTTGCAAGCACAAGGACCTAAGTTTGATCCCTGGTACCAAACAAAACAAAACAAAACAAAACAAACAAATAGAAGGAAATGTTTCTTAAATAAAAATGGCATCAACTAAATACTGGCAATATTCATTGGATTTAATGTAGAAGTTTAACATAAAAGAGAGAAAAAGTCATAAAATTTAAAAAATGAAGAACTCAAAGTAAATTATTCATAACCAATGTACTCATCTGCACAGTACATTTAGATGTTATAGAAAAATGATTTAACCAGAGAGTCTGCAAAATTTTGGGCACAGGATTAATACTTACAATCAATTACAGATTTATATACAGCAACAAATAATTAGAGAAACTTAGAACATTTATAAGTTTTAAAAAATACAATCATAGAAACAAAATGGTAAGGTTAGAGATAAAATAACAAAACATGATCAAAGGACTTAACAAAAGATCTAAGTTCTAGGAAAAGTAAATAGTAAAAGGACAGTCATTATTCCCAAATTATAAACAGGTTTCAATCAAAATCTCAACAAGGTATTTACAGAAATCAGTGTGCTGATCTTAAAATTTGAAGCACAATAAAGGAAGCTAAGAGCACTCTGGAGATGAATAAGTTGAAATTTGTACAACTAACTTTTATGAAGCTATAATAAGACAGTATGATATTTGCATAGGCTTAGCCAAACAGGAATGTTACAGAATAAGAACTGTAGAAACAAAATTTTCCATTAATCTCAGTTTAATACATGAAAATGGAGTTATATATAGTAGAAAATGGATGAGATATTCAATTAATCTTTCTAGGACACTAGGTTAAGCACACAGATAAAGAAAAAATGAGGTCATGTATTATTTTCAGTCTTCCCAAAATAAAATCAAGAAAAACTAACACTGAAATGTAAAAGGAAAATCAAGAAACTTTTAGAAGAAAATGTAGCAGAATACATTGTGAGTGGGAATATACATTTTAAACACAAAATACAGTTTACTTTAAGTTAAAAACTTTGGGCCGGGGATTTAGCTCAGCGGTTTCGCTGCCTGCTACGCAAGCGCAAGGACCAGAGTTCGATCCCTGGTACCAAAACAAAAACAAAAACAAAAAACCTTATGCATGAATGAAAAATTCCAAATATATAAATTGATGATTTACAGAGGAAGAAATAAAAATGACCAAAAAAGGTGACAACTACAAGACGATTCTGAATGTCTTTAGTAATCTAGAAATTAAGGAAATGTAGCTTAGATCAAATATGAAACACTATTTTCTACCTACAGAGTAATTAGAAATTCTTTGATAATATGTTTGATGAAGATGCAGAGATGGTGAATGATGCATTGCTGGTGGGAGTGCAAATTAGTGCAAGCTAATTTGTCAATTGCCAAGAAAATTGGAAGTATGTATTTTCTGTGACCCAGCAATTATACTTCTTTGTTGAAAAACTCTGGTAGTAATAAACAAGAGATCCATAGAAGTGTCTTCATTTCAGCACCATTTGTAATTCCCAAAGAAAGAGAATAGGTGAATAATGTTATCACAAAGTAGTTAAAATGAATCACCCACATCTACAAGCACCAACAGAAGCTATTAGAAAGATTTTAAACTATAGGTTTTGAACAACAGGGAATTCAAAGGACTGTATGTAGGAATCTTTATGTGCCAAAAACATACTTGTGGAGACTAGATTTTTTTTTGTGTGTGTGTGTGTGTGTGTGTGTGTGCGTGTGTGTTCTGTGACAGGACGTGTCACTATTCTAGGAAGATGGATGAGACCAATAAGAAACAACAGTAGCTAGAGAGAATTGAAAGTTATACATCAGATTGACCAATTCTATGTGAAGTCACATTCCATCTGCGAGTAAGTTAGGTAAACACATCCACCATCCATTGTTCATGTTTTGGGAAATGCAAATGAGAAATACTAAGCAGCAAATACTAACTGAGATAACTGGGGAAATAAGATTTAAGGTATGCCATACAAAGGTACTGAATACCCATGATGAATGCAAACATTATATGTCATAAAATGAGCTAATAATAACAGCAAGAATGGAAATAGGAGGAGATTTAGAAATGGAGGGAAGTGGGTGAGAAGGGGAAGGGTATTAAAAAAAGAAACCAGCTGTGTTATGTACATGTACTTTCTTTCTTCTTCCATTAAGTTTATTGGTACATTTTGGGTATAAAATACAGTTACATTCATCCTTGGGATCTTGTACCATTACATGAGTATCTCGGTTCTTATTTTTTTCCCCTTCCCGTGCCCTTCTTTCACTCTCTCTTCCCTATTTGCAAAGACTTTGTTTCCATGTTTTTCCTTTTCTCATATTTTTTTCTTTTCCTTTTTTTTTCCTTTCCCCTACCCTACTCCTTTAGACCTTTTCTTCCTATTATGCAATATTAATTATACATTTTGTAAATTACAATATCAAGATCTAGGAGGCATTACCACAGATTTTACAGAATTTAAAAGGATATAGAAAGCATATT